ATCATTAGCAGCGTGTTTTCACCGGCCCGCCTCGCCCATTTTCTGGTGTCTTTTTCATTTTCCAGGGCCTAGCCCCGCCCATTTCCTTGGCCCCGCCCCCTTTTTATACATATTTGCTGTGCAAGGCTTGTGGTTGAACTTTTAAATTCGGAGGTAACCTATAAAACCACATTTTTTAGATGACTACACGAAATCGCCGGGGCCGCAACGGCGGAACACGTCGGCTGTGATCATCCAGCCCAGGCAGGGCGTCTCCAGATTCGCGTCGAATCCGGTGCCCGCGTTGATGCAATGCGGGACGTCGAATTCGAAGACGAGTCTGGATCACACTGCCCCATTGGACCCGTCGGTGTCGACACGTCCGTTGCCCCACCCCCACTCATTCACCCACTCCGAGCCCACAACCCCAAAGTGGTAAGTGGATCATGAAATTCGGTTACGGTTTACTTTCCCCCCCCCCCCCAGCCGGAGGTTTTTGGCTATAACTTTTTTATCTTGCATTATTGTAGGCTCAAATTAAAACTCTTAGTATATTTTTTGACGCTCTATCGAATGACGTTGCAAAAATCCCGACAAAATACGCGAAAATACCGAAAGCTTTGAGACCCTTCGACGGTGGGGGGGGGGGGGTTAAAGTACTCTTACCTGAAATTCTGTTACATCCGGCTTACCCCCTTAATCCCTTAATCCAACGCTTGCTCAACTTGCTCAACGCGCAAGCCTCTTGGCCGATGTAAGGAGGTCGCTACAAAACGGCTGAACAGGGGGCTCGCGTTGCGTGTCGCGGCGCGGTAGAATTTCTACGGAATCGATGGCCAAAAATGGCGCTCCTGCCTAGATGATTCTTTGAAGGTTAAGGGGAACACCGTAGCCACTTTGCGCCAACCGATGAGTAGTTTCGCAACGCGTCCCCACCACAGCAGCGCAACGCAGCGCGTTTAAACGACCGCCACGCGGCTGCAACGCATCGCGTCCGCTGCCGCAGCGCATTGAGTAAGCGCACACCCCGCGTTTGAAAGCCGCAGCGCGACGGCAACGCGTGCACAGCGCATGGATTCGCGTAGGAGAATGCAGGCAACGCGAAATTGCTATTGCCGAGAAAATCTAGACCCAAGCCATGACCTAATTCTTCGATTTTAGCCTAAACTTCACGACCCCGAACCCGTACACCGGCCGCTCGAATCTCTCGATAATGGGCCCGCCGGAAAATGTTTGAATTTTACCCCCTAATAACCCCTTAAAGGGCTGCTGACGGCATGTGTCGATCTTCCCCCATCAACAAATTGGCAAGTAGCTAACAGGGCAGAGGGCGCGCCCTGTGTAGAGGCGCAGAGACATTTTCTTTCCAGCGCGTAAACGATTGCCTATGCCGTCGGCTTCCATTTAATACCCCGTTAATATTCCCCTGGAGCCGATCCCCAGGTAGGTGATCGGCTCGGCTGATCCGTTGATCTCTGCGATCTCTTTCAGGCTAATTCTGTCCCCCGAATTCTTATTTTTTTGCCTATTAATGCATTTACCAATTTCTTGTCAGCGCTTCGTCACCGTTGCCTCTTGCTCTGCTCTAGATGCCTAGCCCGTATTCTGGTCTGTTTTGTGACACTTTGTGTTTTTTTCGCTGCTTTGCAACCCAACCCAGCCACTCCATTCTCCAAATCCGGGTCTATCCCACACACACACCACTACTATGTCGTCTTCTCGAATGTCTAGGTTCTCAAGTATAGACCAATTTTCGCATTTTCGTCAGTAACTATTTATCAATTATCTCCTTTTTTCTGGAAAAACCTATAGCTATTCAAAGTGCGTTTTTGTTTCGTGTGAATCGTATAAATGTTGGAGCATCATTTTGTTCGCTAACAAAAACGGTATCAGAGTATGCAATCCCGAGAACCCGATAAATCTTGCAAAATAGCTCTAAAATAGCGCATTTAAATGAAGACATGGCTTTGAAGCTCGTTGCGAACTCGCCGTTTCACGGTGGGTTCAATTAAAGGGAATACGGCAATAGAGTATGATTTATTTGTGTTCAAATTAATTGTTCGACCAGGGTTGAAAACCGCTACGCGGCTTTTCAACCCTGGCCCCGTCTAACGAACATGAGAGTCAAACATTTGCATATTTCTTCTAGAACCTTCATCGCAAAAAAATGAAAAGCACCCCTCTGCCCCTTTATAAAGGCTTTCTCCACTTCCGGCGCACGCTAATTGCCTCCTATCAAAGAGATTTTTCGATATCTTTACAAATACTCAATTTTAATAGCGAAAACAGCAATTTTTCAAATCTTTCATGTGTGTGCACTCATCTCGGAATCATTACGCACCTAATGACGTATCATACGTACCTTAAAACCCTTCCCCTGAGGCTGTAGGTGCGGTACATACTTACGGAAGTTGCATGCAAATATACACACACACACACAGACACTATTTTTTTATATATAGTAGGATAGTAGGATTGTGTGGCCTCCTCAGTCTGCCAAATGCATCAGATCATTAGGTAGGTTTGGTGGATCAGATGGACTAGGTGGGCTAGATGGATTGGATGGATTAGGTAGATCCATCAGGACTGCGTAGCTCCTTAGCGGGCACTTCTCGTGATATTCAGACACCTCGCCAAAGCGGTTATATCCAAACTTTTCGAACGCGATTTGACGATCCTTGAAATTGATTTTACCATATTACGGGCTGAGAATCTGATTTGTGGCTGACTTACGTGTGCAGGATTTTTTGTTGGTTCTGAATCTGTTTTCCAAATTTCCGGAGGAGCCTGCTTTCACAAGTTACAGTGATTTTTTCGAAATCGGACGGAAACAGTCTCAAAATCTTGTAAAATCGGTCTTCGAAAGACATCAACCATATCCCGCGGTAGAAAAGTAGGCTCTTGCAAATGAGCTCCTGTAGCCTGTAGCTGACAAAGGAAGGCACGCTCACATGCCATTTTCGGAATCCTCACGCAATTTTAACCTTCCCTGATCCTTTTTAGCAGTAAAGCTTCAGCATTTAGACCAGTAGGCGGGCTCCCCGCACACGCAATTTTAGAAATTCGGACTTCTTCAATATCATTTTTAGCACAGAAAATTTTTCCAACACCACTTGTTGTGGCCAATCAACTATAATAATTTTCTTGACGCGTCTGTCCGTCCGTCCGTCTGTGTGAAGCCGAATTCAACTCGAAGGGGAAAGGAGCTAGAGCTTAGCTCTCTTCGGATTCGGATAGTGCGCCGTCAGAAACCCCCAAACTGATAAAAAAATTATGAAAAACTTTTAGTTTAAATTATTAAAATTAACTTTGAAAGTTTTTTCCTTAGTAAAAGGGGTGGTGGATGGAGGTTGGCATGATTTTCGCATAGTGAGCCAGATCGCGCACGTTTCGTGGATGAAAATTTTCACGGAGGATTTCATTTCTTTTTTTCTCTCATTCCATCCGGTCGGTCGTTATTTTTGTTTTTTAAGGGGATTTCGGCTAGGGGAGGTATCTGTAGCCATCGGGAAGGTATTTAGGTAGTTTTTGAAGGGGATTTCAGCTAGGGGAGGTATCTCAAGCCATCGGGAAGGTATTTAGGTAGTTTTGAAGGGGATTTCAGCTAGGGAGGTATCTCAAGCCATCGGGAAGGTATTTAGGTAGTTTTTGAAGGGGATTTCAGCTAGGGAGGTATCTCAAGCCATCAGGGGAAGGTATTTAGGTAGTTTTGAAGGGGTTTCAGCTAGGAGGTATCTGCCGGAAGTATTGCAAGCCATCGGGAAGGTATTTAGGTAGTTTTGAAGGGATTTCAGCTAGGGAGGTATCTCCAAGCCATCGGGAAGGTATTTAGGTAGTTTTTGAAGGGGTTTCAGCTAGGGAGGTATCTCAAGCCATCGGGAAGGTATTTAGGTAGTTTTGAAGGGATTCAGCTAGGGGGGTATCTCAGGCCATCGGGAAGGTATTTAGGTAGTTTTTGAAGGGGATTTCAGCTAGGGAGAGTATCTCAAGCCATCGGGAAGGTATTTAGGTAGTTTTTGAAGGGGATTTCAGCCATGGGGGGTATCTGAAGCCATCAGGAGGGTATTTAGGTAGTTTTTGAGAGGGATTTCAGCTAGGGGAGGTATCTGAAGCCATCAGGAAGGTATTTAGGTAGTTTTTGAAAGGGATTTCCAGCTGGGGGCGTATCTAAAGCCTTCGGGAAGGTATTTAGGTAGTTAGTAGAGTAGGTGGATAGTTAGGTGTATTACATCAAGGGTAGAGCGAGGCCAGATGGTTACAGTCGCCCGAAGCGACTGGAACCCCTCTGGTCTTTAAAAAAACCTGGATCACTAGCAAGAGGCTGATTTCTCTCTCAAAACAACAGTCGTATATGGGGTCTTATAAATTTTTCTTATCGACGCGTACCGGGGGGCTTATAATTCGTATTCATCAAAAATCTACACCAGCGCAGCGAGCCGAACGTGCAAAAAAATCTTATCACAAATTTTTGAGCCGCAGAATTTTACGGGCCTCATTGAGCGCCTTGTGTGTTCGCTTCGATTCTCTGTTGTTGCTAGCGAAAACAGCCGTTAGTAGGTTTAGAATGGTGCTTCTGCTAATGCACAGGAACACGCGCTGGTTCATATTTTGTTGTGAGTCACTGTTTCAAATTGCTCCCCTCGCGTTGGAACTTGCCGATTCAGCGGCAATGCAAGGTGTTAATGGTCGCAGACGTTACGAATGCAGCCCCGGTAGGCTTTACAAGTTCTATCTCGTTTTAGATAAGCGTCTGGTCGTTTTAGGATTTCTGAAAAACTCTTTAATTGCCAACTGGCGCAGATTATTAAAATTGGGTTTTGAAACTGCTCCGGAGCGTCAGTTTTAGCAATCTGAGGCTGCCACACTAATGGCCACGATGGTGGATTTGTTCACCGGTGCTGGCGCAAATGGTTTCAACATCTCCGATGGCGTTCTCGAGATACAGCCGTGGAGGATCTTTTGACGGGCCGATCCCGACGGATTTTTTTTATGACATTGACGCAGTGCCAGTTAATTTTGGGATGCAGGGAGGCAACCTCGACATTATCTCGTTCGTAATATTGGTCATAAGCCCGCAATTTTCTCTATAGTGCCACCGAAGCGCTTAGTGCTTGGGCAGTGGACGACGCAGTTATCGTGCTTTTCACCGGCAGGTCAGCTTAATTCCTCAAGCTTTTTTTGGTTTGGTATTGGTTGGCCTTCCCTGGGACCTAGATACGATACAGTTTTGCAGTGACCAGAACAACATCAATGCGGCTGGCCGGGACTACACGCGCAAAGAGTGGACGGTCAGGGTGGCAGGTTGATCCAGATTCCGAAGCCTTTAAAATTCAAAGCTCGCGCACTTTGGATCGAAAGAACACTTTGGCGTTTGCGACAAAAGTTGTGCCCATGCTCCATCACCCCCCTTCCATCTTTGACGCCACGATGGAGTTATTCAAAGACCAGGCTCAAGGTGTAAGCACAATCCCGCCATTAATGCCGACACCATTCTATCGACGCGCGCCAGTTGCTTGCTGTACTTCGTTTTGGACGCTTCTTTAGAGAGTTGGGTGGGTAGTGGATAGGTTAAGAGAACTGTAAGAAACTGTGAGAAATATGCTGTTGAACGTGCAGGCAAACGCCCTGTTCAGGATACCTACGAAACGCAGATTGACTACATGCGACAAATAGGCCGACAGGCATTCCAAATTTCTGTAACTTCACCATATCAGCTCTATGCGCGCGCCCTGCACGTAGGACAGGTAGGACAGCCTTGCTATGGCGAAAAATCTACTTGCAGCGTGTTCCGAGCGGTCCTGTATCCGTTTACTCGCCCACCAACAGCTATTACGGTCTAAATTACTTTTTCCAAATCGAAAGCCAGTACGTTAGCTTGGCAAATGCGATGAATACCACAGTGGCCAAGTAATTAGTTCCCGCGTTTCCACCCACTCCGTCCTAGGTCCATCCGAGCTGCTGCAGGCCTTTGCGACCGATACAAGCGGCCAGGCCGTTGCTCTAATCTTCACTAACAGGTGGGAGTTTTGGATAAACAGATAAGATTCGCTTTAAGCGACCAATCAGCCGTAGATGCGGTGCAACCGGTGTCTGCAAATAATTTATTCATCTACGGACACGCATTCTCAGGTTTTGGCTTCAGGTTACCTAATCAGCAGAGGGCTTTTTTACCAGGAGAGGTTTTGAGTGACAATCGAGTTTGCGTACGGAGCAAGCGTAGCTTGTGCAGATTTTGCGCTGGTTGCGACGTTAATTTCTATTTATTTTTATACGAAAAGAGTATAAAATTTTGTAGATCCAAACAAAGTTGTGAACCGTTTCAGGGTGGAAAAGGCAAAATTTTGCCGAAATTGAGAATTTTTGGGACTTTTCCGCACTTCTAACTTTCATAGCTTCTTGAATCGGATCGTTTCCCAGTTTTTGAAAACAGGTTTGAAATCAGCACTAAATTCTACTGCCCAAGTTATAGGTTGGCGTCCCACGAAAAATTCACTTTGTGGCTCAAATACGTCTCCTTGTTAGCGCCCGGATTTTCTCTTCTTTTCCTGTATATAGAAAGGGAGAACGAGGCTGTTCCATTGTCCTAAAAGGCCATCCGTTCCAGGTGCTAACCTCAAACGCATTGCGTACCCTGTCGGTTTGGCCCTCACGCAAACCATGCCGAAGGCGATAGACGAGTACTGTCGGTCTTCCCCCCGACCACTCTGACAACCCCACCTTCCCTCGGGGAAACTTTCCCTACCCAACCGCACCCGAACCCCTTTTTGGAAACAGACCGCGCTGAGTGCGGCATCGCCTTCTACTTCGACGGTTCTAAAGAGGGTTGGGTGAGCTCGCGTATATTCATACTATCCGAAACTGAATCTGCTATTTCAGCCACATTTTGAGCTGCAACATCGGTTGATGGCATCCGCCATGGCAACAATGTTTGAGGCTATGCAGGATGCACGTTTTCTATTTGCCGGCAGGGCCGGGGTTATCGGTCAGGTGGGTCTGCACTCTAAGCTAGTATTCTGAACTAGGTGGGGTTCGTTCCGCCAGATTTTCATACGGCTGGCAATACACACTCATATGCAGACTGGGCGCGTGGATTCAGGAGCATAAGCGAAAACGCTACGGAGTCTGAGTGCACCAGCACCAAACGCGCTTCGCCAAGGCGACAAATTTCTCTTCCAGTTGGTTTTCTAGCATTATCGCGTATTTTCAAAGCGAAAAGAATTACTGGGGATATGACGCGAGGTTCTTCTTCTTCAGTAACAGGTAACACTCACATGACGCAGCAATTCTTCTAGTCCTCAAGCTGAAATAGACGCGATCTCGGATATTAGTTTTCGGGAAAACTTGTATGGATACAATTTACAAGGTCAGTTACAATGCAAAAGCCTTCAAGATGCGAGCTTTCGAAGCAAAACTGCAACCACCCTGGTTTCAGGCGCAGATATGAGCCGGATCGCAAAGCCGCTAACTTTTCCGCTAGATGATGAATGGATGTCAGAGTTCCGGGACTCTTGCACGGTATTTTGGCAGGCTCCGGTTTGAGAAAGCGGCTTGCCTGGAATAAACTAGCGCACTGCCCGAGAGTCTCGGGCCGAGACTGGGATGCCAAAACCAAAACCAAGTTTTGCAAAAATGTCTCATTACCATTTTCAGACACCGATTGTATAACGTCAGATGCCACCGTCACAGAATAACAGCAACCCGCACGGCATCGGCTATCAATAAAGTTTTCGTACAGCTGTAAATCCAACAGTTTCACATTTTTCATTCATCGTCATTTTTTTTGGCAGGCCGACGATTGATGCTATTCAAGAATTTGGTCGATCGATGCGTGTTTTTCTCACCTGCAAGCAGCAGAGTGATTCTCGCACGAGAAGCTGTCATGAACGTGAAGCGCCCCAGGGGGTTTAGAATACGGGTCTCTCTCGACCCCTGGCCGCTCGCTAATCAGCCTTGCTATCCACAACCTGAGCGCGACAAGTTCCTGAATGACGCCGATGCTTCAAAACGCGCCTATTTTTTTTATTTTCGCGGTGCACTTATTTCAATACTCCGTTGCAATAGAAGCTTCGCTAAAACAGAAATGCCAAGTGTTGCTGGTGGCTGACGTTACGGATGCCGCTCCGGTAGGTATCACATGTTACAACTCGGCCTTTCGAACTTTTCGAATCAATTCTAGCATATTTTTGCGGGCTGTTGACACAAACCAGTTACTGAAAAATAAACGGTTGCACTGACTTCAGTTTTGCTTCTAGCAATCCGAGGCTCCGACCCTTATGGCGACCATGGTCGACTTATACACGGGAGCTGGGGCAAATGGAATCAATGTCTCAATGGCATTCTGGAGGTATAGTCGTGGTGGAGCATTCGACGGCCCCATTCCGACGATCTTCTATTATGACATGAACGCGGTCCCAGTGAATTTCGGAGTGCAGGGTGGCCATCTCGACATCATCTAGTTGGTCTCATGCTTTTGAACTGATCGTTTAGCACAGTGCAACCGAAGCGTTAAGCAGCTGGACTGTAAAAGATGCGGTTATTGTACTTTTTACTGGAAGGTAGGATGCATGGTCCCCAGGCGATTTTTGCAGCAATAAGGTTTCAATCGATATAGATTTATCACTCTACCATTTTCACCCTTTATTTGCTTGTAAAACACGCAGCTTGCAGCGACGCGGGCAAGTTTGCCGCCGCTGGTCGCATGTATTGCCGATGTAATGAATAAACTTTTCCCGTACGTTGCAAGAAATTGTCGATCGTTCCCTTAGCATTGATAGTGGTTGGGGGGAAAACAGTGCTACCATCGAGAGATCATTTTTGGATTCCGTGGTGCGTAAGTTATAGGTTTTAAACTTCCTGGTATTAAAGGGGCTACGAAATGCCAAAAAATTGAGTGACGGCCCGAAAATCGGAGCCCTGTACGTCGGAGGCCTCTGTACGCCCAGGGGCCGGGACGCTCGCAAAATTTGAAATTGCCTGTTGTCACCTCGAAATCACGTTCTCGGCTGTTTCTGGGCCAAATTTGATGACTAAAACACCAAAGCTTTTTAAAATTGAGTGAGGATTTCAAAAATGGGCTCAGAATGCGCGAATTATAGTGTTTTCCCAAAGAAACCGGGCAAAAACAACTTCGCGCAAAAATCGAAAGGGTGAGGGCTCTTGTCCCGCAGCGCCCGCTGGCAATTTGCCAGAAATCAAAGAGCCCTCCCAAAAGGGCTTTGATTTGGCAGTTCGGAGCCCCTTTAAGGAATAAGATACGACGGCGAGGATTTCAAATCAAACAAATTCATGCAATAGAATGTAGTGGTATGGAATCTAGTGTACTTTCGCGATATTTGTTTTGCGTGGTAGGCTGAGCTGTCGACCGATGCATTTTTTCTCTGAGTTTCTCCAGAAAGAAAACCTGAGTTTTAGGACCCTGGATAAGTGGTCGAGATCGAGATTTTCCCACGACGTATGCAAACATAAATGGTAATTTTTGCGCGTCATTTGTCTTTGCACATTTATTCAACTGTATTACGGTTGATTCGTCTGTTGTTATGACTAATCCGAAGAACTATTTATTCAATGGAGCACCACGGATAATTCCTTGGTCCGTAGGGTGATGCAATGTGAATTCCGATGACACTCCCGAAAATGGGATCCCCGAAACTTGGTTTCCCGAAACTCGGAGTCCCGAAAATGTGAGTCCCGAAAATCTGAGTCCCGAAAAATCTGACTCCCGAAAATCGGAGTCCCGAAAATACCCGCAGTGATTTGGGTTTTTTTGGGGCCGGAAGCCTAAAAACCAGTAGCCAAATTTTCGGGATTCAGATTTTCGGGAGTCAGATTTTTCGGGACTCAGATTTTCGGGAGTCAGATTTTTCGGGACTCAGATTTTTCGGGACTCCGATTTTCGGGGCTCCGAGTTTCGGGAAACCAATTTTCGGGAATCAGATTTTCGGAAGTATAAGCAAACCCCGGTTGATTCGTCTGTTGTTATGACTAATCCGAAGAACTATTTATTCAATGGATCACCACCAGGGCCGTAACAAACCCAAATTTCGGGGGGGGGGCGACCCCAAAAATTTTTCACTAATATGACTAAAACTACAGCGCCGCAGGCAAAAATTTTTGAAAAATAGGGTTTATAACACTAAAACTAGTGTTAAAAATAGCCAAAAACAGCGCCGCAGGCAAAAAATTTTTTGGAAAAATGAAATCATAAGGGTCCCCCCTTATGAACTTTTCGGCCTTCGGCCGATTTCGGGGGGGGGGCGGCTCGCCCCCCCCCGCCCCTCTTACGGGCCTGATCACCACGGATAATTCCTTGGTCCGTAGGGTGATGCAATGTGAAGATCCGGGATTTGGTAGTTGTAGTTGTACGGGCTATAGGACCAGGTGTTCAAAGCATATCCAACCGGGTAGCGGTATCCATAGCCATAGTAGTTATATTGACGCTTTGCCCGGAGCAGCGGTCGTTCGGGGGCTAAAAGTGAGAGGTATACTCGTAACGAAAAGGTAAAGAAATCCGGATAGATTCAAAGTTAATTGACGCTAATTCTTAAAAAATAGAGCGGCAGGCGCCGAATTTTTGAAATCACTTAATTTTACGGGCTTTTGGCTCTCTGGCGCATTAATGGTAGGTGCTTATAAAAATGGCAAATATTAGCGTTAATGGACCAAAATATATTTAATTTTCAAAGTTGCTAGAAAAGAGCAAAATTGGATTGGCGCCAGGTCTAAAATGTCCGATACAGCCAAAATTTCAATTCAATACATTTGGGCGGTGCATTAATGGTAGACACTGATCGAGATGCAGATTTTACGCATGAATAGACACTCAGCATATTTTTGAACTCACCAAGCTCAGCTAGCGTCATGGCAATCAGAGCAACGAGTAGAAGAACAATTAGAGATAGGCGGGAATTCATAATGCTTTTTTCTCATCTACCCCACCCTATTCCACATCCTATTTTATACCCATCCGAGCCAATTCACCCTCGCGAAGTACACCCGCGCCCTTATAGTATGTTACCCTTCTAGCTGCCGATTTCCGGGAAATGACGTTTCTCTACCTTCTTGTTTCTTATATTAGTCCTTCTTTGCGTGCATGTACCTTCCTTCCGTGGTCCTTCGGTCTTTCGCGGTGAAAAACCTGCTTTTTTTAAGTGGATGTGCCAATTTTGTGGCAGTCGGAAAGGGACATCTTTATTCGATTAACCTATTCAACTACCAAAAATAGGGGCGCCGCTGCCTGCGATGATTTTCGAAGGCAAAGGGCGTGGGCGTGTAGATGTTCACTGATGAAAAATGGCTGAGTGAGAAAACAGGAGCCGCTGCTCAAACTGCTCAAACTCGAAAGCAGAAAAAGGGCAAAAAGCTGCGATTTTTGGGGGTTTTCAGGGATTTAAGCTCTTTTTGCGGGAATAGATAAGATTTCGATTTTTGGGGTTAAAAAAGTTGATTTTTCTTTTTGTGGCCCTGGGATATGGAATGGAAATCACAAAAAGACACAAATTCTAAAAAAATGATTAACGAAGATCACCATAGAATTTTTTTCGAGAAGGAAATAAACAATGATTCGGTCAATATCACCGGCTCTCCTTGATGAGCAGAGCTTCCGGATCCTGGTTGACTTTTTCGTATTGGCTAAAAATACCGAATTTTGAGCTTTAAAACAAAAATGTGTCAGATAAAAGCACTACCGTTTGTTAACATGCTTACTTGATGCTCAGCTTTCCCCGATTTTTCGGGAACATCACTTCCTTAAAGCTGGGCAGGATGTCGTCTAGTGATTTGAGCTCGGAGTGGGTGAATACTTTTTCGAGTGGCATCATTCGGATAAGAACCATAATGATGAGCTGAAAATTAGCTTATAACTATAACAAAATTACCATACCATTAATAGCTATAAAATTACTAAAAATTGAATAAGAAACTTACCATCAACGGGAAGGCCATCTTTACTACCGGAGAATACTTGACGACAAAAAGCCCGATAAGCGACAGCATTTGAATCAGAGTAAAGAGGTGAACACGACGCATTTTCACGCAACGTAGCCACGTGTAGTCGGGCTAAAATATATTCTTTCAAAGCAAAGCAAAACAATCCAAACCTGATGCTTCACCGGCATGAACCAAAGCGCCACTCGTTGGACGAATTGCTGGTGGATTAAGGACACCACTCCCATATACAAGAAAACACCGATGAGGACGGGCATTGGGACGAGCTAAAAAAAAATGAAATGTACTTTGATAAATTATATCGAAAGACACTTTAAATAAGATGTATGGGGTATCGAATCGATTGGGCAAAAAACATACCTTAATCACTGGAGTCAAGAAAACCGAGACTCCAATCATCAAATGGGCAAGGATAGCGGTCAGCCGCTGCTCTCTAAAAGCAATTTTTTTATCTTTATGCATTTATTATTTTTATTGGTTCTCCCTTATACAGGCCCGTAAGAGGGGGCGATGGGGGCGAGCCGCCCCCGCGAAATCGGCCGAAGGCCGAAAAGTTCATAAGGGGGGACCCTTATGATTTAATTTTTCCCAATTTTTTTGCCTGCGGCGCTGTTTTTGTCTATTTTTAACACTAGTTTTAGTGTTAGAAACCCTATGTTTTCAAAAATTTTGCCTGCGGCGCTGTAGTTTTAGTCATATTAGTGAAAAAATTTTTCGGGTCGCCCCCCCCCCCGAAATTTGGGTTTGTTACGGCCCTGCCCTTATACTTACTTGACACCTAGCATCTGTGCCTTTTCTCCAGGAGCTGCACTCTCGGATTGTACCCTCAAGGAGTCGACGTGCATCACTAAAGGTAATGGGGTCTTCTTTTCCTCTTTTTATCTAATCTCTCTCTCTCTCTCTCTCTCTCTCTCTCTCTCTCTCTCTCTCCCTTTCTCTATTTCTGTTTATATGTCTCTCTCTCTCTCTCTCTCTCTCTCTCTCTCTCTCAGTCTCTATCTATCCATCTATTCGATCTGTCTCCCTGTCTTCTCCCAACTTATTTCTTACCGGAAAGCACTGTAGCCGCCACAAAAAACGGCAAGCCAAGGAACGAGCAGATGAGCACGAGGATGGCGATGACGAGGAGATCAAGGTGGTAGCCATAGCCTTTCTAAAATTATTGCATTAATCACCAATTTCCAGGTTATACCTTTAGCAAATTGTCCTTTCGATTAACAATTACGGCCGTAATCTGCTGATCCATCACTATCAAAATAGTGTAAAAAGCGGCGGGGAGGATGGCGATCAGAATTAGATGAAGCGGGACGTCGACGGGGAGCACGAGCCAGGAGCGGTCTTTCGTCGGCTAGAAAAGGCCTTTTTCGAAAAGGGAACGACCCCGTACCCTGAAGCTGTCCGGGATGTTGAGGGTTGGGACTTTGTCTTCGCCAACGTAGTGGGAATAGGCGGTCATGACGACGATAGCAATTAGGACTCCAAAGTCGGACACGGCATTGCGAATCTGAAATCAGCAAATAAGCAATTGTTTGCTCTCTCTCTCGCGCTCTCGCCCTCCCTCTCTCTTTCACACACTATAGCTCCTACTCTCTCTCCCTCTCTCACCCCTCTCTCTCGCTCTACCTCTTGCTATCTGTCACTCCGATTTGTCAAACTTCGAAGCACGATAACCCTTTAACCTACATTTGATGAAAAGAACGGCGATTTTCTGAACTCCTTGAAGGCATACGTCAGCGTGAACGTGCCGAGCGTCAGAATTATTGAGAGCTGATAGACGTCAATCGGGTTTTCAAGCTCGCGGAATTCACCGAGGTCACACGCTAAAAACGGATCAATTGTTACAAAAATTTTTGGTCACCTCCTTCTCGAGTATCATTCTGGAAAAAGCCGGCAATTAACGAGTCTTCGGTCGAATTTCCCACGAAGCACTTGCAACCGGAAGCTTGGAGCGCTGCCTGAAACCGGATTCCAGGTATTTCTAAGGCTAGCAAGTACCATTTTTGCGGCAGATTTCCTAGCTTCTGTTGCTCCAATGCCGAACAGTTTTTCGAAAGCCTGGAATTGTTTGTGACTTGCAACTTGTTGGTTGAAATTTTTAGGCATTCTGGAGCATTTTTGAGGCCCTACCTGGATGATGAAAACCACGCTAATTAGTGTAGCGAAGGCATCTTCAGTAAAGCGTGTGATCAACCCGACAAGTGCTAAAAATCAAAATAAATTTTATCTTGATGATTTTTCTACCAGAAGCATCGGTAGCTGTGAGGATCATGAGCATGATGAAGATCCAGATACCGACGAGTAAGCGGAATTCCAGGAAATCCCAGCCATTCGCTCTGGAATTGATTGCTAAAAATTTTCTAGGGCAATTTTACCTGCAAAATTCGTACAGAATCCCTTCAAACACCAATGTGGGTCCTGTAGCAGATAGAATGTTCAGTGGCTGGCCGGAGAACATGGCAAAAATTACTCCGCAAATTCCACCGCAAAGGATTGCTTCGATCGTTGCCTGAATCAAGAGAAAATTTACATGATTTGGTTCCAACGACCCTTTAAAGTAAGTTAATTTACCATTTCATGGTGCAACTTGACACCCATCACAGCTCCAAAAGTAATGATTGAGGTCAAGTTGGCAAAGAACAGGAATACGGTAGCTGCGAGGGATTGAGAGAAGCGTCCCCGGAAGAAGTCAGTGTAGTCGGAGACGTAGTACGGTATTTTGGCTCTGTAAAAATTGTTTTTAGATGTTTCTTGTCTTACTTGATGTCAGCTGCAAGTCCTCCAAAAGTACGACCAGTCCGGTAAAGGCCAACAGCGTGGGATTCTCCGTCAGTAGCTGTAAAACGGAAAATCAAGCAGACATGGCTATCGTCGTGCTGTATCAATAGACAGAAAGCAACAAGTTCTAGGTATCACTATGCGCTGAAAACTTACAGCTCCCCTCCAGCGACACCTTGTGCTTGTTCATATGCCCAAGTCGAACTTCCTGAACATGATGTTTAAGTCCAAATTCAAAAAAAATATAAAGCGTACTTCCGTTCCACCATCTTTCGGCTCCCAACGCGTCTCGGTCGTACATTTCCCAGGCGGAATCACCACCATGTTCGACATGAACTCCTCGATGGCGTCGGCCATCGTGTAGGGCTCTTGGGTGTGTTCAGCGACACGTCGGAAGACCTAGCGTTCAATACGAGTCAACCGCCCGATAGCAGTATCCGCACCTCATCAGAAAGCAGCGCCCCGACTGTCCTCCCAATCATTACGGCCTCGTTCTCGTAGTTATCCTTGGGGGTGAGGAGCACGAAGATGAACTTGGTGCGCACCGGGATGTCGGGAATTTCCGGGTAAAAGTTCTAAATTTGCTGTCGATCTTATTTTCCTGTTATTAATTACCTGAGCCGTCTTCAGGCGTATAAAAGCGCAAGTCGGGTGCTCTAATGAGGCGACGTGACCGACAAGGATTGCGCACGACTCGGTGTTGTTCGGTAGCTTGGAGACAAGGCGTTTTTCCGACTGAAAATAAATAATACTATAAGATATAACGGAGAACAGAAAGTGTTAAAAAATAATGGATAAATTGCGAGCCTGCGACAGATCTCCGGTAGCATTTCCGGTGTCGATGGTCAGGTGGTTGGATTCGTTGTGGTTGTGCGTCTAAAATTTAAGGTAAATATGTTTTAAAAACCAATTATAATTTTTAATAATTTTTATTATTACTGTTCAAGCACATTTAAATGCAGGGGAAACAAATACTATGAAATCGGAATTTGATGATTTTTACCTCATGATTCTCCCGCTCCTTTCCTCCATCCTCATCGTCGGTATCAGAAGCCTGGTCGAGGGAATTTCTCCCTAGATATTTACATCTAAAAAGGTCGAAAGGTCCTTACTTGATTTCGAAATTGTCATATGGACCTTCGGGGCCCAAAGCGCCTTCCTGACGCCTTTAATATTTGTGTCATTGACGAGGGCACGGTCCTCCCAAAGTCTGATGATGTCATCTAAAAATATAGCTAATTTATATACCTTTTCGAGGGAGTATGATCCTCAAAACTTCCTGATTCTACTGCTGATTGTGATCTTAGAGCTTTTCTTTCCCATTCAGCGGTTTTCAACCTCGAAAGTTACCTTAGAGGATACCTGTGATGCCTTTAAAAAGCCCCGATTTCCAAAAAATTGTCTTATCTTTGACTCGGGGCTAATTCGGCACCTCTGATTCACCCAGCGACCATCGAGCACACATCCAACCACCGATATTTTTACTCTTTTGCCCCACCAAGCCACCTTGTACACGATTTCCCAACCCCCACACGTGCCGCCCATAGATGCGGATAATCAAATCAAGTGATCGACCACCGACTGAGTTGCAAATAACACTTGCGGAAAGGCAAGCTAAACCAAACTAACCGAAAACTGAGGAAAGAGAGTCCCGCGTGGAGTCGAGGACGACCACGCCACGTCGCAGACAATTTCGAGCCTAATTCGGGGATGAACTTTTGGCCCGGATGATGCCATCACAAACCTGGAGGAGACCTTGAAAACTCAGGAGGGTGATGTGTGGTTTGGAGAAGCGGGTGCCACCGCCTTCGACAACTTGCTCGTACTTTATCCACCTGAAAGGGGAGATTATAAAGGTGTACGAGTGAAACTAAAAAATGTTTTTAGATAAAATCTTGAAAACGACATAACATTGCGCAAAGCGAGACTTTTAGATCTCCGCAAGAATTAGATTAGGTATGTTTTTAAAAACTTTGTCTATCAAGAGTTTATTTATATTTTGTCCAAATTCGAATCTCGTCAAAAACATTTTATCTAAGTTTTATTTTGTCTTAACAGGCAGAGATTGCACTTTTCAACACGTTTAAATACGAATAAGTTACAACAAAATTAAAGTGGTCGTAATTTCACTGCCCCGCAAGATCAATTTTCTCCGTGTTTGCGATGAAAAATTTTCTACAAAATGCTGTTCGACAGAATGGTTTCCGAAACAAAAAGGGTTGCGGGAGAATTACGATTATTGCGAGCTTAACTCCGACCAAATACAAGCCAAAATTTTGGCTTGGTCTTACCTCGAAGCCTCATGCCAACTTCTGATCTTCCCGTCATACCGCAGCTTGAGCATTTCGGAATATATTGGAGGCGCTGCATCTTCATTGTCATGTCGTTCATAAAGCCGACGAACATTGTCAATAGCACCTGGAATTCAATGTATATTTAGTTTCCAAAAAAATGTCCTTACTATCCGGATGCTGGCCCAGCGATATCGATTGCGACACCGATATTGGATCGAGGAGCAAATCGGCTGAAATATCGTATTTTGGCATTGATCCAATGTGTCAAGAGGTGTAAAGCGGAGTGACTAGGCCGGTGGATGTGTGGAACTAGTTCCTGGCTGATTATCCCCCGGCATAACGGGTCGGGGATGTTGGGAACAACATTATAATGTGCTTGTTTGAAGGGATATTTGATTTTTTTTTCTGGGGTATTGAGAGTTTCCGGCCTCACACTTTTCGATATCTATTCATGTACTCTTCAAAAGCCAGGTGATATAAGAAATAAACCCGAAGATATCTGCTATGAAACGTTCCACACAGGGCTACGTTCAAGGCAACTGCACGACACGGCTGTGGATTTCCGAATATGAACACAGCGCAGCGGCGACACGCAACGCGCGCCCTATCTGCCAACTGTATCCAGATCAGCCGAGATATAGATAGAAAGAGCGAAATATGTAGGAAAACAATCGTGGAAAGTCTTAATCGTGCCTTATACCGCCCTGAAGAACCAGCGCGCGTCGCGTGTCGCGTCGACGGCAAAAATTCATAAGATATCTATAGCCAAAAAAACTCTAGCCAAGCCCACCGCGTCCCTTAAAAATTGCACACGCGCGTTGTGTGTTGCTGCACATTAAAATCCAACTCTCAGGCTTTGAGCTTTACCATGCTCCTTCACCGACGCCAACCGCCGCATCGACGGCCTTTTCGAATTAATCATCGTAAAATCAGTGCAAAGAATCGAAGTCTAATTAGTTTCGGGTGTCAAATAGTGGCGCGCGATGTGTGGAGCGTCAGCACGCCCTTGGTCGAGAGTGTCCTCCCACCAGGGGTTTTCTCCAAAAATGGATCGTCTCTGGGAAACAGGTTATCCCTCCCAAATGGGCCGGGCACTTTTTGGAACCCGAAAAGGTTTCGTAGGTGGTATGTTGTTGGTGATATATGATGAGTAAAACTGGTAAATATTTGGAAAGCGTTTCGTGTCCAATAATATGATTGATTTAAGCTATTAAATTTGGGTGTTTTCGCCAGGGAGTGGTAATTTTTTAAAGGGGTGTGTAAGACATGACTATAGATATAACTACGTTAGATAATTCCTAACTTGATACGGTTACGCGATACGCGTTGCAACCGCTTGATATGAGGATGGCGTAATAAGTTACGCGATGGAAAAGCTGAGCTCGAGCTCGTGCCTAACACGGGTCTACGCCTTGCCTGGCCTTTTAAAGCGACCAGAACCTGAAAAATTCACTCCCCCACCTGTAAATATGATATATATATATAACTTTAAATGTCACCGGGAATTCACAAAATAAGGCGGATTTTCTTCCCGATCCTCGGTCGTGTCATCCATCGCGTTATCCAGGAAGTTCCCAACCCCATTGTTTATTAGAAGTTTTTGATTTTTTATTGTCAGGAATCGAGGCAGGCTTCTTCTAGCCAGGACGAGCTAGAATGTCAAAAATGTTGGGTTAGGCCCTTATTTTCGGGGTGTGAAAGCGCGACCACTGGCTACGCGTGAAGACCATTCGATCAAGCCCGCGCGTGGGGGCGCCAAATTATTGTTATCAACCATGGTCTCGCAGGGATCGGGGGGCGGATATTGCATCCGGTGGTCCGGAACAGTTTTTGTCGAATAAATAGGACAGCTGTGGAGCAAAAAAATGAAGAATGGATCACCAAAAGTGTGAAAACATATTTTCTACGACTCCCACTTACCTTGGAACTCAAAGGATCGCGAGTGACGCAAGACCATGGTTGCGCTTTAGCCAAGGGTCTTGTAGCCTAGTAAATCGTATTTTGTCAGTAAATGTTCATCGACGGACACACAACTACCCGCGGTAGCCGAAACGCAGCCATCATTATGCAAAGCCGGGCGATGGCCGACCGCCCGATCGCCGTGATGGGCAAAAAGTTTCGAAAGTTTTGGTTGAAAAGTGTCGATAAACATGGGGATGGTGGTTTTGTTTCCTAGGGTAAAAGAAGTGGCGTGTTAGTGTCAATTGTTTCATTTTTTAGAGAATCAAAATTATTAAGTTAGTTTCAAGAATCGGGGATTTTTTTAACTAACAGAATGTTGTAGCCATTTTCCTGATGGATTTAAACCACAAAAACATCAATGAGCAGCAAGTTTTAACCGATCGGTTACGATTTCTCCTGCAAACGATCACAAATCACTGCCACAAACTGTGATCTCTGTCAAGGGTTTGAGGGCCACTTTCTGACCCCACGACATCCAGCATCACCAAGTTTCCGCGCGACCGCAAATTTTGCATTTTCCGAACCCTGCCGCGTGACATTTCGGTTCTCGCGCCAGGGCGAGCGGATCAGAAAGTTAGCGCTTTTTCGGGAAAGGCAGAAGAGCAGTGAACTGTGCTGCAGCATAGAATTCGGGTTTGGTCTCAGCCTGGCCAAATAAAAAATTCCAAATGCGAAATCGCACCTGGCTAGGGCAAGCTAGAAACTACACAGCATTAGTACGGTGTGCAAGGCTGGAATCCATAAGTACGATTTCCTCAGGAGTAAAACCTCGCAAAATACAAAAACAACCAAACCATATGAAGCGCCGGAACTCCTTCAAAAAATTTCCCGAAAAATCACAAATTACAAATTTTCACATTTAAATCAACCTAAAAAACTCGAAAATTTTGAACCTTGGTAGGTTCGGCCAAAAATATGGACTGGCAGGAGCCGAAGTTTTCTTCTATGGATTTTAAGACCATTAAACACCCTGAACTCACGTTTATAAATCGTCCGCGACCGCGACTGCGTCGACTTCACCGGCAGCAACTCCGGAAATAGGCTCTTCCTCCGATTCTTCATCCGAGCACATCCCCGCTGCGACGACTTTGACAAGTCCAGCAGCGACATCTCTCGACAACAATAACCCAACGCTGAAATCAATGCTCCCCCACCACACATTCCAATGCACCTGACCGAGATGGCCGTTCCAAATTCGGCTCCACCTGGCCTAGGATGACCCCGAAAAAGTGGTCTTTCTATATTTGGAGACCCCGAGTGACATCGGCAGCTGCAAAAAGAACCTCTTCGCGTCATAGTCTCTTTTTGGGAGGTGAACTTTTGCTCCGGCCGGCTGCTAACTATGCGTTTTGCGGAAAACGGGGACAGGGACTCCCGTTTTTGTCTGATAAGGCCGCCAGAATTCACGTAGCTGGGGCGAAGGCCGTCAAATCAATCATTTTGGCTAGGTTTTAGGGTCTCTTTGAACCCCAAATTTGCACGACTGGTGCTCTGAAACGACCATTTTATTATTAAATAGGATAAAGCTGTTGTTTCGTGTTTTTATACATTACCTCGATTTAATTTAAGGACATCAGTTTCTTGATTTTGCCCCGTTAAGTATGCTTTAAGTATGCGTGTAATGATCTATATCTGTCTCGCTCTCTCTCACTCTCTTTCTTCTCTTTCTCGCGCCCGCTTATCTCTCTCTCGCTCACTCTCTCTCGGTCTCTCTCTCCCTCCCTCTCTATCCTTCGTAACTGCCAAATTTAGCTTGATGCTCCATCACTGGTATCCACAGCCGAATTTCACAGCAGCAGAACTTGTCTTCGAAAAGGAGCACCGATTTTTACAGCCGGTCTGGGATTATATAAAGGTAAGTAGAAATCCGATACGCATTGATCTGGCGTATTTTCCAAGTAATTTATTGTTTTCAGCCTAACAAAATTTAGGATGGAAACGAGCACATCCTCTCCTCCCCTCTCTTCCCTCCATTCTACGCCCTCAGCATCGACTATGCTTTTGTAGCTGTATTTACATGTATGTGGTTTTTTCAATTTTTTTTAAGGCTAGAAATTTAGTCATCGACCTCGTACTCTGTGACGTACCGTTCTTCAAAAATCACAAGATCCAGAAAGACCGGAAAGTTACGTGGGATCTGATCAAGAAATCGCTGTTCTTGCAGATGTGGAATCAATTGCTGTGGTGGGTTCGGGAGCGTAGTGACCGGTCAGAAATGGGCAGAAATTGGGATTTTTAATGGAGGCGATAGGCGATTGGCGTTGATTCACATAGACGCAGACTGACGACAAGAGAGTATTTTGATCAAAATTTAAAGCTCTGATAAGGCCAAAATTTTCCAAAAAAGCATGAAATAACTGCGCAGTCTTGGTTCTAGAATACCTTTGAAATTAAGTTCGAAAACAGGCAAGGTCGGGCGGATTTTGAGTAGAATTTTAATTTTTGCAAAAATTTAGTTCTTTAGGATATATGAATTTCGTAAACGCCCATAGTTTTGAGTTCAATTACCAACTATCTTTTCAGGATCTACCCATTGGCGCTCGTTCAGCTGATTTGGGTACCACCAATCCACCTGCCCCCACTTGCTCCAACCGTCTTCGAATTCGTCACCCAGCTTGCATTCTGCTTCCTGGCCTTCGACTTTTCGTACTTTTGGTTCCACTTCTTGTTCCATAAGGTATGTTTGTTAATTGGCGTGTAATGGAATATATGCCTCCTAAGCTCATCTCCCTCAGTTAGATCTTTTGATGCCGAGCTCAAGCTCATCTTTTAGGTCAAATTCCTCTATCGATGGTGCCACTCGGTCCACCATATGTACTCCTCACCATTCGCAGCTGCTGCTCAGCACCTCCACCCCTTCGAGCTCTTCTTCGTCGGTACCTTCATCACTGGTAAGTACACCTGCCGTAAAAAACTACCCAACTACAGTAATCCCCTGGGTATTCCCCACGCACTGTCTAACATACTATGCTTGGTTCTTCATCGCGCAGGCCGTGTCTTATGAGGTAAATAACTTCAGTATTGTTTAAGGTGTTTTAAGGTACATCTTGGCTACGACTTTCCATTTGCGCTCCATCGATTCCTGTTCTTCTACTCCGGGGCGCCGGCGCATGACATGCACCACCTGAGGCCGTTGACCTGCTTCGAGCCGTGGTTCAACTACTTGGATCGGTTGATGGGTGAGAGATTTGACGTTTTTAAAGGGATAGTAAAGCGGAAAGTCGACCTTACCGGTGACTGATTATCGACAAACCAAAAAAATAACGAGAAACAACGTGGAGCGGCATTTAAAGAAGTTGAAACTACTTTTCCCGACATGTTGAACTCTGGTAAATGTCGAGATCTAGTCATCATCTGGGGTCGATGCTCGCACTTCACAAAACCTTTAAATGCTTTGTAATGTCTGTATAATGCAGTAATTTGCATTAAGAATGCATTTAAAAGCCTTGATTCAGGCTACCACATCACTTACGAGGACCTGAAGAAAATGGCCGAGGAGAAGAGCAAGCGCTTCGGCCTCTACAACAAGGAAGAGGAAAAGGGATTGGAGAAAATCAACTAGGCTGTGTGTCGTACCGGTAAATGGTGATTAAAATGTTGTATCTGAGGTTTTGAACAGGGGTATTACAATTGGCACATCGTTGCAATGGTGTCTGCCAAAAATTTGGCTTTGAATTTCTGGAGGTAGTGGCCGTCCTGCTTGAAGCAGACGCCGAGGGCTCGGGATTCTAGGAGTCGTTGGCGGACCCATCTCGCGGCTTTTGCTTCGACGTCGTCACTTTTGGAATCGTCGAGAATCTAGAGATAGCTTTAAAGGGATTGGCAAGGCCAAATTTTGATTTGCACATAAATTCTTACAATTGTTAGGAATTTTAAAGATGGAAATCAGTCGTAGTAATAGTAGTAGTACGTAGCAGTACGTATGTCGCAGTACGTAACAGTACGCAACGCTACAGATCTACGCCAACAATCCAAACGAACAAACCAGTTCCTCGGCACCGTCAAATTCGGCCAGCATCTCCCTGACGATCTGGTCCTCGATTAGGAAGTCCTTGCCCGAATACGCCATCACGATCTGAAGCGCGCAATTGGCATGACAGGCAAGATTGGAATCTAAGCAGATGGCGCTGACCCTGAAAAAGCCCCCGAAGAAGGCTTTGACTAACCGGTGTTTTCGAATTTTCGTTCAGCTCCTCGACGTAGGGCCGTTGTTTTTCGAGACCAAACGTGCGCATACTTTGTACGCAAACGGCGGCAATTTTTCCGGTTTGGGTTTTGAGGCGCACGATGCGTTTGTAGACTGAAAAATGTAAGAGGTTGAATTCCGGTTTAGAAAATACCGTGGTATAAAATTGGGTGCATGATCATCTTCTGGACGGACCACAAATTGACATTGTAAATCCAGGAGGCGAACTGAAAATTGATAAAATATCACACAAAAAAAAATTTCGGAAAAGGATGAGAAACAGAGAGAGAGCGATGGACAGAGAGAGAGAGAGAGAGAGAGAGAGAGCTAGAGAGAGAGAGAGAGAGAAAGAGGAGAGCTAAAGGGAAAGAGACAGTGAGAGAGAGAGAAAGAGTGAGAGTGAGAGAGAGAGGGAGCTAAAGAGAAAAGCACAGTGAGAGAGAGAGAAAGAGTGAGAGAGAGAGAGAGCGAGAGAGAGAGAGAGAGAGAGAGAGAGAGAGAGAGAGAGAGAATGCTTGCACCCACTTGTATGATAAAAAACGGCTTGATCCCCTTGTGCATTCGAAGTCCAGAGGTATTTATTAACACGAGTCCTTGCGCCTGCTCTTGATTCTTCGCACATATTGCCATTGCATTTTCCGAGCCACGACTGTGCCCTAATTTGCAATAAATCAAAATACAAATAATTTTACCCACCGACAAACACAATCGGGCCCTCGATTTGTAGATGATCCAGCATCGCTTGGAGAAAGGCGTTACGATCTTCGTTTTCAAAGCCGATTTTCTTATGCTCTAAAGGAATGGTTTTAGTTGTAACTATTGAGGTATCTACGTTACCAGATAATCCATTAAACGCACTTACTTTGTGTATATCCATGACCGGGCATATTCATAGCTATCACGCGTATCCCGGTCTTCTTCAAGTAATGCGCGATGTATTTAAAATCATTGTGAGATCCCGGGGATCCATGGATCGCGAAGATCGTACCTTCATGGGATCCCAAAGGGAGGGTATCCTAAAAGTGCAACGTATTGTCAGAAAATTTATGGTATCCTACCTGCCAAATAGCCTTAATCGTCACTTCATCACCGGTCCGGGTGGTGAAGTTGATTTTACCCTCATTCAGGTCAAGATCATTGGTTACGGTCGGCCATTTTTGCATGGCTAAAATGGGTGTGAAGCGGGATAGATAGAGAGATTGATAGAGAGAAAGAGCGAGAGAGAGAAAGAGAGAGAGAAAGAGAGAGAGAGAGAGAGAGAGAGAGAGAGAGAGAGAGAGAGGGAGAGAGTGAAAGAGCAGGCTCAAGTCGGGCCCCTATCGGAAAACGTGCAAAATCATTTTTAATTTCTCCTGGCGCTCAGAATTTTCAACAAGCGAATTCTCGACAATTTAGACAATTTGTGGGAAACGAAAAGAACCTTCCAAAACTACTCGAGAAGCGTGGTTCCGCTTAGAGGTGAAGCATCGGGACGCTCTGATTCACAGAAATAGAAAAAGGCAGAGTGAGAGAGAGAGAGAGAGAGAGAGAGAGAGAGAGAGAGCGAGAGATACAGAGCAGCCCCACACAACAAACATGCCAAGGAGGAAGGTTCACGTGAAAAGCCCTCCACAAATCGAACTGGAGGACGAAAAGCGCCACAAAGCGCCGAGACCGACAGACAGATGCAAAAAAACGGACAGACGAACATCGGCCCGCGAAATGGACCATTTCGGCGGGCGGGCACAATTTTCCCAATTTTTCCCTCCATTCCGCCCGCAAATCGCCGCGATCCGTTTGTCAACTCCAGAAAAAAGGCAGAAAGAAAATTGAGGGGAACTGATGGGGGTTTCCCACAAGAAAAAAAGTTGAGAAATGGGGGTCGGTGACCAGTTGTTGGACGTCATGGCCTTGGTTTCGGATCATTGCGGTCATAAAATTTTGATTAGAACTCAAAAGCTCGTGCTAAAAGTGATCTTAGGGATATCGGAAAGCTAAAGTTACTAGCTCACGTTCAAAGTTCACGTGTAGGGACAACGCCAAAATCCCGACATACAAAATTTCTACAGCCAAAACCACCATAACCAAATTCCCGACAGCCAAAACCTCTACCGCCATAATCCTGACATTCAGAAACCCCAGATTTTAAAACCATTTGGGGGTCGGACGACCGGAAGTATCACATTTTCGCCGTCGCGATCTTGGCTGTCGGGATTTTTGACTGGAATTCTAAAAATTCATATGGAATCCATATACAGTCAAGCTCATAGCTTGTCTTGCCAATTCCTTTAATAACCTTTGAGAGCGGCGATAAATTCTTTTATTCCAAAATCGATCGGTTTTTTAAATCATTCCTCCTAAAAAGGAGTGCGCCCCCAAAAAAAAAACTCAAAAACTTGGATGAGGATCAATATGAGCCGGCGGAGAAAGTAGGGAAGAAATGGAATCGAATCGAGGTGAGGGGCGAGGGAATAAATCGAGGTAAAAAAGAGGGGGGCGGAGAATGAGGAGGTGGCGATCCACCATTCCGCCCTGACCTTCACCCATTCTCTCCGATTCCCATAGCTTGCTATGGATGCACAAATAGGAAAGAAAGGTTTGAGCTTTTGATCGCGAATTTTTGGAGAGAAAGAGAGACAGAGAGAGAGAGAGGGAGAGAGAGAGATAGAGAGAGAGAGCGAGAGAGAGAGAGATAGAGAGAGAGAGAGAGAAAGAGAGAGAGGAAGAGAGAAATAGAAAGAGAGAGATAGAAAGAGTGGGAGAGAATGAGAAGGAGCGCGAGAAAATGAGAAAGAGAGAGAGAGGGATTTAACGGGAGTGAGAGAGAGAGACAGCGAGAGAAACAGCGGGTGGGGAGAGGGAGCGAGGATGGCCATCTGTGATGATTATTTTTCCTAAGTGTAGGGGTTCCTCTTTAGCGTCAAAATTAACTATCGAGAGGTGGCAAATTTATTCAGTAACGACACTGCACGAATTCACGAATTATTCCTTCATTGAGTTTGTCTTCGATACACGTCCGATAGGGTGTTCTGATCTCAATACCCCGGGGGTGCTCTTGGTAGCGATGTACTATACGCTTTACGATCATCACATTTCCATCAACCCGCCGGATGCGATAATAGGTGTGGATGTGGTCGTAATATTCTGACAACTGGAGCGTTGGGTACTGCTCGAAAAATGCGAGGTGTGCCCCGCCCGGGAGGCGGGCGGTACTACTGATGTCGATGGCGGCAATTTGACGGTTGCCACGCAGCCATTCGTCAACAACAATATGCGCGTATTCATCTAGGGATACCCCGTTTAAGAGCAGCCGCATCGCTTTCAATAGGCCGAGGACATCACACCAGACTACAACTCATAGATCCAATGTCCTAGTGCCAAATCCGCATGGCCTGGGGGCAGATTAAAAGGCGGTTCGCGAGAGACCCGAACTGGCTTGGTACAGTTTTTTCGACGCTGTTTTTGGCGCCGTCTGAAAGAGCGTGGTCGAATTAGTAAGGCCGCACTATTTTGACAATTTTAAAAGTTGATTTTTGGGTGTGACACTTCATTTTTGCTCGGTCGACCAGGGCGCATAAAGGAAAAGGAGAAAGAGCGAGAAAGCGAGAGAGAGAGAGAGAGAGAGAGAGAGAGAGAGAGCGAGAGAGTGAGAGCGAGAGATTGAGATAGCCAATGAAAACTGTTTAGGTTTTTCTATTCGTGCGTGTACACATTATCTAGTGGCGATAATTTATTCAATAACCAGCGTGTACAAATTCGCGAATCACACTTGCATCTGCTCCCCGAGGGATTTTCGTTTCAGCGGGGGTTGTAATCCTGATGGACCTGCCATCCCCGCCACGCTCAACAATCAGCACGCCACCATCATCGCGCCGGATTCGGTAGTATGTCGGGTCATGCAGCGGATCGGACCCTTCGAGTCTTGGAAACTGCTCGAAGAATTGGAGGTGAACCAGGTGAGTGGAAGGGGCAAACAGGGTCAGATCAATCGCCGCCACTTCACGCTCGTGTCGGTGCCATTCTTCAACTACCAGGTGAGCGTATTCATCAACAGGTACCCCGACGTTCCCAGTGGCCGTTAGTCGCATTCGGGGTACCTTTAATCCCAGGTATTCCCGTGGCGTATTTGGAAGAATGGCATCGAGGGAATTGACGGACGCGTTTAGCCACTCGGTTAGTTCTGGGCTCTCCGGCGTTTCAAGCCTATATAACCTGACCTCATCGTATTTCCCGATGGGCTTGTGGCGTTGTAACACCGACAGTGTGGCTACCCGATTGGTGAGCACTAAATTTTCGCAGTAAATATCGATATCGTCGGGCAACGGGAATACTGTATAGAAAGCCCTGACCGTGGAGTTGTGGAAAAGTAGTTTAAAGGCTTGCATGCGATGAATTCTTCGCTTGTACTCCCCGTACCGTTCTCGTATTACGACTTGCCACGAAGGGCCCAAAAGCTCTTTGAGATCCACGTTCCAATATTTGTTCCCACAAGTTTTGGCAGCTTTCAGCACTGCCTTGCTGATGGTGGCCGTCCTCAAGTAGCTTCTAGGGTCCATATTCCGCAGAATGTTGTGTTGGACTTCAATGGGGAAGGCGCTGAAGTCCATCGTCTGAAAAATAGAAAAGATATGGGTTAGAAAAAGGGCGAAAAGATGTGGGCCGAGCTTGAAAGAGAGAGAGAGAGAGAGAGAGAGAGAGAGAGAGAGAGAGAGAGAGAGAGAGAGAGAAAGAGAGAGAGAAAGAGAGAGAGAGAGTGAAAGAGAGAAAGCGAGAGTGATATACAGGGTGAGGCATATATATCGCTACACATTCCGAGTCCCTCAAAAAAGTATTAAAGCGAGCCGGGCTTCAATATTTCGCTGTGATATAGCTACATGTGTCCTTTCGACACTCTTAAAAGCTTATAACGCAACAACCCTATAAACGCTTGTTCTGAAGCAAAAACTGGGCGTCTTTAGGTGGGTCTGGCACGGAACCCCTTGGCGGTCGATTTCGGCATGGTTCGGAAACATTGATTTGGGCCCGAATGACCCCTAAAAACTTTGTACTACTTAAAAATTGTCTAAAAAAGACAATGAGACCAACTTATTTCTTTTCATTCGGCAGCAAGTTAAAACTTTGTCTCAGCTGGTTGCAAAAACCATTTGACTTGTACTCGTTCAATTTCTTGGTTTTATCATTGGGAATTGCTCGTACCGGATGCCTAAAATTCAAAAAATTGCTCGAATCCAAATATTCAGGTGGCTTAGATTTTCTGATTAATTTTTAGTAGCCAACAAAAGGGTGGGGTGGGGTGTGTAATCACTCCTTTTTTGAATGTAGTAAAATTCCCTCGCTAGTTTCCGACTAAAAACCTATTGGAAAAGATAAATAAGATCCGACTGAAACAGAATATAAAAAACTGAACCAGAGTTACTAATATACGGGGTTCTAGGAGCAGCGTGCCAACACACCATTTTTTCGAGAAAAGCGCTGAACTTCCCTGTAAGCTAAACCCAAATCGAAACAATTTCCAACCATTTACATTTATTTCCTGCATAAAGCAACGCTAGTTCTTTCTCTTTATAATCAGTTTTCCGCTGGCAGACAAATTTGTGCGTGCTAGAGGTGTAGCGATATATATGCCTCACCCTGTAGAGATCAAGCCTTAGCAAAACTTCAGAGCATCACTGTATGTCTGGTTACGCGGTAACTCGGGTAATATCAGTCGTAACGAATCCCCAAAACGTTAGCATCCAGTACTGACAATACGTCTGGGTACCCTAGGGGCAAAACGGAAGAGCGGAGACATGACGGCGGGAGAGAGAGACGTAAAGAGAGAGAGAGAGAGAGATAGAGAGAGCGAGGGAGAGCGAGAGCCAGAGAGAGGGAGACAGAGAGAGAGAAAGAGAGAGAGAGAGAGAGAGAGAGAGAG